CTCTAGCTCTCTCTAGGAAAGAGAATTTGAGTCCCATGCAGCTGAAGCAGGACCAGGAATAGCCATTAACTTGTAATGACCCTAGTGAAAAGATGTCTGCATTTGGCCACATCAAGGTCAAGTGCAAGTAAATAAGCCTGGTGCATATACCCAAAGCTTCCAAGTCAGGTCTTCATGGCCTTATTCTCAAATATAAACAGATGACAAAGATTACCAGACATTTGAAGAAAGCCTGCAAGATAAAAGAGAATAATCAAGACAAAATAATAACATGTTATAAAAGAAAAAGAAACAATCAGCACCAACAATGAGCTCTCAGATATTAAACTACTTGCCGAATTTTGAGTTCAATAGACTAGAAGATAAATGCACGTGAATCTCCCAGGAGGTAGAACACAGACAAAGAATCATAAAATATGAGAGAATGATAGAAACAGCAGATTAATCTAGAAGGTACAACTTCTAATAAAAAGATCCTCTTAAAAGAGAACACCAAGGGCAAGAAATCATCAAAGGATAAAGATAAGAAGTTTTCCTGGATGTTAAAGACCAAGTCTCCAGATTAAAATGGTCCATCAATTTCTCAGTGTACAGAATTAAGAGACACACATCTAGACATATTATTGTGAGATTTCAGAAACCTAAGGATAGAGAAGATTCTTAAAGCTTCTAGAGGGGAGGGAGAATAGGGGAAACAGATGCCTTCCAAAGGATGTTAATCAGACTGGCTTCAGATTTAGATTTTCCATTAAGAGTACTGGAAATGAAAAAAACAAACAAACAAACAAACCCCCAAAAAACTATATAGTTCCTTCACAATTCTGAGGAGAAAATACTTTTAATCCATACTTTTACATCCATCCAAACAAAATCAAGTGTGGCGTAGATAGAAACATTTTCAGATATGCAAGGAATTGTATCTCTCATACTTTCATTTTTAGACAATTACTCGAGAATATACTTAAATAAAATATGAATTGTCTAGCCTGGGTTCCCTGAAAGCAAAGCCAAGATAAATAGTCCTCTGCAAAATGTAGAACCGAAATTACAAGGTCAGGGGGAAATCAGATAGATGAGATACACCCTAAAGTAATATCTGCAATGTAAAATTGGGATATTCTCATCTAGCTCCTTCTAGTGTTGACCACAGAAACATAACACATATACAGTTATTTAAAACCTTTCACCAGAGGAGTATAATGTTGTCTAGGCCACCAAATTATAGCCTACATTATAATGACAGGATAATAGAAGGGTCTGAATGACAAACCTAATACAGTCTAGATATGGGCCACACTGTAAGACGATCCAGGGCTGGAGCTCAGGTGGAACCAAGAAAAAAGACAAAGAAATAAAAATTATCAATTGTGTGTACATGGATAATTTTCGGTTTGTAGGCTTAAGAAACTCTTATGTATGGGCATGCCTGCCTTTTCTCTCATGATACAAAACTGACGGTGCCAATAAACCAATGTAAGTAAATTTTCAGTACCTGTACTCTTCTCCATGTCAGCATTATTTCATGGACAGGCCCATGACCCAGAAGATGGAAGACCTCATTCTCTCAAAATATCTCTAAACTGAATTCAGAATATAGCGTTTATAAAAGTATCTCCCTGCTTCTTAGTTCTACCAAGAAGAGTGAGAAGAATTGTAAAGATTAGCCGTGGTTAAGTAGAGATTTGTAACTAAAACCAGCCCAGTCTTCTTATTATATCCTCCTTAACACAGTAATTTGTTCTTAAGAACACATGTCCAAAGAAATAGTCACTGTTCTTCCATGGATACATTACTTGCAAATTGTGTGAGCAGAACTCTTTTCTACTTGGGATACCAAGTGGTGTCAATGTCATCTGGAGGGGCTGCTGTTCATGTTCTAAGATAGCTTGGGAAAAGCTCTTTTGCACTAGGAGAAAATCAAACCAATATGGAAAATGAAGCAAAACCAAGAGATAGCAAGAAAGGACTGATGGTGATTTTCATGTTCCTGGATCCAGACATGCCTGAAGCAAAATGACCAATAATCAATGAGATACAAATTAAAACAACGATACTTCATTTAAACCCAGATTTTCTAAATTTAAAAATATCAGCAATACCCAGGACTGGCAAAATGTAAGGGAACGCACACCATGAGGGGGTAGATTGCAACAACTTTTGTAGAAGGCGATTTAATAATATATCAACATTTTAAATACAAAATAACTTGACCTATCATTTACACTCCTTTGAATTAATCTCACAGGGAAAAAATTCTCATAAATGCAAATATACAAGGATTTTCATTGGGATACTGTCTACAAAAGGAGAATCAGAGGCATAAGAATAAACACTACTGTTTACAGTAGTGTAGAAACAAAAGATTCCATGCCATAAATTGCATGGATTAAAAAAGTCTCTTTTGTCCTTTTCCTTTTCTATACTATACATTTTAAGATTCTTAAGCCTGCCCTCTTCTTGGGGAGCTAACTTGCAATTCTAATGCTTAGTTCTTGAAAAGGCTGGCTTTTCTATTAACAATTACTGGTAAAACAAACCTCAGAAAAGGAGAAAATGTTCCTTCTCCCCTATAGCTACAGAAGTTGTTCTGCATCATGAAGCCAGTTTTGATAAGGTTGGAAGCATTCATAAAACTATCTGTAGTACTCTCTTGTTCTATGAAGATATTTGTTTTTCAATATTAAATGAAACCATTGTCTTCTGTTTACGCTTTAGCAAATGGGTTTTTTGAAGACTTCGATTTCAGAGTGACAATAATTTCTATGAAACATAATTTTTTATCTTAAAAGCTTTGATCCTAACTGTATGTCTTCATGAGTCCATTTAAAATAATCAATATCTCATAAGACATGTGCACTGGACAGTTAAAACAGACTGCTACTGAACAGCAGGTAGCACTATAGTGGTGCACAGAGGCTGAGGACTAGCTTTGCAGTTGCTTATTAAATTTATGGCCCTCTTATTGAATTGGAAATCAATGTGTCTCTAGAAATAAAATATTTGTGAAGGTCTTTGTTAAGTCATAGAAGGAGGATGGACTTTCCTTCCCCCTCATCCATTCATGAAACAATAATATACACTTATGACTCTGATACATTTCTGATACAAACTATGAGTCTGAATAAGTCTGTCTCACATGAATCAAAAACATTTTTTAAAAGACTTAAATTTTGATAGCAGTTTAAAATTCACAGCAAAGTTAAGAGGAAAACACAGAGATTTTCATATACCCTCCTGGCCCTACACATGCATAGCCTTCCTTATTGTCACCATCCCCCACTAGAGTGGTACATTTGTTACACTTGACGAACCTACACTGATACATCATTATCACCCAAAGTCCATAGTTTACATTAGGGTTTACTCTTGGTGTTCTACATTCTATGGATTTTGACATATATCTATATAATGACATGTATCTATTATTATAATGGATACATTATTATATTATAGTTTCACTGGCCTAAAAATCTTCTGCGTTCTGTCTATTCATCTCTCCTCCCACAACCTCCTCCCCCACCACCAATCCCTAGCAACCATCTTGATCTTTTTACTGTCTCCATAGTTTTGCTTTTTACAGAATGTCTTACAGTATGGAGCATTTTCATATCGGCTTCTTTCACTCAGTAATTTTCATTTTAGGTTCCTCTATGTCTTTTCATGACTTGATAGTTCTTTTTTTTTTTTTTTTTAGTGCTGAATAGTATTCCATTGTCTAGATCTACCACAGCTTATTTATTCGTTCATCTACAGAAGGATATCTTGGTTGCTTCCAAGATTTGACAATTATGAATAAAGCTGTTACAAACATCTGTGTGCAGGTTTTTGTGGGAATAGTTTATAAAATATCCACTTTCTCTTTCAAACCTTATCTAAAACTGAAAGCACATCTCTCCCCAAAATAAAAAGGCCAGAGCACTGTCTTCTCAGGTGCTACTGTCAGAGACGGACCAACCGAATCACAAGGGATCTGCAGGAAATCAGGTACTTGATAACTCTGAATTCTGTTTTCCGAAAGGGAAGGGTCTCTGAATGTGAGGAAACTAGAAAGGCCCACTGAGGATAGACTGGTGTTTGGATGGGGCTGGGAGAAGATCTGAAGATTGGAGTGATTGCAATAGTGGGGATTATGTCAGAAGCCAAAGCCACGAAGCCAGTTCGGTGTAAGAAATAGTCCAGGTAGGGAGGTGAGGTCAGACCTGGCAAAAAGGAAAACATATTGAAGGACAGAGATGCAGTCTATCCATCCCTCTTAAATTTAAAACTTAATCTTAGATTGTGCAATTTATAACCCAGGATCCTCGGGCAGTACTGTTAGTGCCTGTGTCTCATTCCGACCCTGTGCAAAAAGCCGTCCTCCTTCCTACAGTTAGTGAGGCCTATATCCTCATGCCAGCACAGGAATATACTTAATTTCCTCACTTCCCACCCAACTTCATGCACACACCAACTCCTACCTCTCCTTCCAACCAAGAAACCCAAAAGCTTCCATGCATATTAGCTCTCCCTGACATGGTGAGAGTTGACAAAGTCGAAAGATATTCAGAATATTGACTTAAGTTTGAGCCCCAGGTTAACAAAACTTTGAGAAGAATTGATTTTTTTAAATATGTCAAAGGACTCTCAGTATTCTCTAAGGGGAAGAAAAATGTCAGGGCCTGTGAACGATCTGCTAGAATGTGATCTGTTTTTCTCACTGGCCATCTGCGTGACATGTAGACATGCCTGTGACCAGGATCAGTTGTTCATGTACCAGCCCCTTCCTCAAGGCCAGAGGTCAGATTTACCTTCTCCCTATGGGTAGGACCCAGGCAGAGCTGTTTACAGAAAATCCTGGTTAGCCGTGCAGAAAGCAATGTAAATAGGAGCCTGGACTTCCAGCTTTATAGTAGGGATCCATTAACACAGAATTCACTCATTGGCATACTCACAATGCAACTAATGTTCATACCTCACTTTCATTATCTTATATTTATTTGCAGTTATTTTTGAACTTGGAGATGACCTCTCTTCTTGCTATAGCAGTTCACTTGTTGATCCTCATTCAGTGGCTAACACAACAGGTAATATATACCACCTACTTCCACCCTATATCCTGCTGACCTTGCTTTCCCCTTTTAAACTATAGAGTTCCCATGGTTGAGTCTATGGCTAAGACCCATGAATCTGAAAAGATTTTATAAAATATTAGGAAATGAAACAGTAACAAGGCCTAGCTTTTTCTTTTTGCACTACACATAGTATAAGACTGTCTTCATATGTGTACCATACATGAGTCCTATGACAGGAACGTGTCAAATTTCATGCTGAGCAAGAAGTCTATGCTGTGGGCTCTGGGAAGCATCCAGTACATACTGGTTCCTCAGTGACTGGGTCAAGGAACACTGCCTCTTCTTTACAGGTGACTGGCCTGGCATGGCTAGCCAAGTCATGTCAGCTAGGCATAGCCAAGAATGCATTTGATGATCAGTGTGAGGGCCGTACTGAAGAAATGGAAAGAAAAGCACCCCAGTTGTTAAAAGAAGAACTGAAAGTGGATAGAAATTTAAAAATTGAATGGGAAATGGCAGAGACAAAATGGAAGTAAATAAAGAACAGAATAAAGTATTCAAATCAATTCAATGATTTCCATGGAACAGCTCTAGTGGCCTATACTGGGAGAATTGCAACAGAATTTAACAAAGCTGTAAGAGAATTCCATCAAAATTCACATAAATTTCAGTTCAAAGCCTTCCATTATTATTTGACAAGAGTTCTTCAGATTCTTGCTACAGGGAACTGTTACACAGTTTATAGAGGTTGTGGCACCAAGTTTTATTATAGTGGGAGAGGAAATGTACATTTGGGCCAATTTACCTCATCATCTCTGGATGAATTTATAGCTACTTCAAAGTATTTAAAAGAAGGAGGGACACTATTTATCATTAAAAACTGCTTGGGTGTTAATATCACAGCATTTTCTATGAATCCAAATGAAATGGAAGTGCTAATTCCAGGCTATGAGGTGTATCAGGAAGTCACTGTACAAAACACAGATTAAAAAATACAATAAAATTTTTCTTCAAAGTCCCCCCAAATTTAAGAGTAACATCAATTGCTTCTGTAGTTCCACTAACAATCCAAGAATACAAGACAGCAATTTCAACAGCTCAGGTAAGTCTGGGTCTGTGTTTCAGGTGGGAGTGGTAGGGCCATCATGAAATTGAAGAGGGGGCGCTTTGCCACCAGAAGCCACCAGGGTGAAGAAAATAGGGCATTGAACCCACTGCTGAAGAATATCCTAAAAAGACAGGGCTGATGTCCTAGAATATAGAGCAGCTCAGGGAGTTTCTAGTCCAGCCATGCTCTTAAATTCCTTGCTGTGCAGAAAGGTCAGAAAGATCTGCTGAGCACCAGGGAACATGAGTTATGGAAACTACTTATGTCAGGGGGTATAGGAAAGGTTTAGGGGAGTTGGGAGACCTGGTTCCAGGCAGGACGGTGTGGTGACTATAGGCATCCCGCCAGGAGGTGAAGGTGCCTAAACTGAGCAGGTAGCCATGGCGAGCAAAGAAGGTTGAGCAACTGGTGTTCTCTAGGTGTTCCAGGAGAAAGAGAGTGAAAGCTGAGTAGGGGGAGAGTATGGTCAGAAAATAGGATGGTGGACCTTGAAATTTCCAGTGTGAGTAGTTTACAGATTCTGAGTTGATTGGAGGACATTTTCATAGAAGCGACTGGCGAGACTGAAGAGCAGGCAAATAGTGTTGGAGCTGAGGAAATCAAAGAACTGAAAGGCTTTGCTCAAATGGGCCATACAGTAGTAGACCACATGCATGGGATGATGCCCAGTCTGATAAAGGTTAGAGATGGTAAAACCAGAGCACACAGACCCCAGCGAAGGCATATCGGTAATGGATAGAGATAAAAATAGAAAAAGGCTATGAACTGTCCAGCCCTGAGAGGAGCGAGAAAGTGCCATCAGAAGCTGCCTCCACTTTACCCAACCTTTCCCAAGGTGTCCTGGCTCTCAGGTTTGAATATGTTTATACCTATCGCTCCTTCTGGCTTGAAGTCTCTTTGACCTCATGCCATATTTCATTCAATCTAAAACACTATTAATTTAGTACAGTAATTATCTTTTGAGATCTACCTCAAATATCATTTCCAGTGGTAAGCCTTCTTTGATACTTTCAGGCAAAATTAAATATCGTGCTATGCTCCGTGTCACAGATTTGGAGTCAGAAGACCTCAGTGATAATCTAGGCTCAACCCCCACTAGCTCTGTGACTTTGAGCAAGTTACCTGAGCAACTTGTGTCTCAAATGCCTCACTCGGACAATGAGGATACAAATTAATACCTCAATAGTCTATCTGTGAGAATTAAAAACGTTCTTAACTTATTACCTGACACATAGCCATGGCTTAACACACACTGTCTTTTTTTTTTTTTTTTTAACATGGAGAACCTTGTTTGCATCGCAGCCATACACTCACTGTCTTTATGATAATAATTTGCTTACAGTCTGGTGATCTCTTTAATGACAGAGACTTTGTTTTCCTGTTCCCTCTTCACCCAGGGCCTATCATTAATGCCTGGCTTGAATCAGGGCTCCAGTACATGTTGTTGAAGTAAGTTAAGTTTTGTTAAGATGCCATGGTCCAGCCAGAAGTAGATCTGAGCTAGAGAGGAAACCAACAAGTTTTAACCAAATTAGTCTTTATGCTATGACGGGCTGCTGAGAAATGTTTGGTGTAGGAATAGGACCACAGAGAGTGATTACTGGGGGACTCTGAGCTTTTACATGTAGGAATTTTGAATTTAGGTCAAGCTTATTATTGTAATGAGATAGCCAGGTAAACTATCCAGCAGAGGAAAGCTGCTGCCCACCATCTCATGCCCAGCAGTTGCTGTTCATTCAGAGTGAGGAAGGCTGAGCTGAAAACCCCAAGAGAGGAAGCCAGATTCCACTCAGAGGCAGAACTCCAGTTAACTGGTTAGTGGAAAAAGGAGTCTACATGCTGCTGCAAAAGATGAACTTCAAAGAGGTCCAGACCCAGAAACATCTTCCTGGGTAGACAAGAACACACATGGAAAGGCTCCCGCAGTGGCCAGGGAGTTGCAGGCCTCAAGTAGGGAAGGCCTTTTTTATGGAGACTCCTGTAGCTGTGAGCACAGGGGCCTGGGAAGTAGTGATGGGAGGAGCTGAGGGGCCCATTAGACCTGAAAGCTCAGTCCACTCGAGGTGACCTTAAATTCAGAGAACCAAAAGGATGTGTCCTCATAATTCATTCTCTCTCTCTGGTATTCCTGAGTACTCCAGGAATCCCTGAAAGGCAAGAGGACAGTCTAATTGCTGGCCAAGTATAGGGAACACTAGAGCCCACTCTCTTGGTTTTTTGAGCCTAGAGTGAAGCTGGAAAAGTTTGGGAGGCCCCCGTCTTAAGAAATCCCATAGAGAAACCTTTCCTTCTCTTCCTCCCACTGCAGGAATGAGAGAAAGCCTTGCATTCCTCCTGCTGCTGCCTGGCCTCCTCACCCTGCTGTTCCTTCATGCTGAGCTGTAACCCTCCCCAGCCTAGTGCCTGATTCCGCGTGGGGGTATTGGGAAGGGTGGGACACAGGATTGTTTTGTAGCCTGCATTAATGCTCATGTCCCCCAAGAAATCTAAGGAATCTACTGGGTCTGACTGCAAAAGTGTGCTGTCTGTCTTCCGATTTACTACTTGAGATAAGTCCCTAGTCTCTTGACACTTAGCTATGATTAAAAAGCAATGTTTTTATGCACTGTCAGCAGTAACAGTCTTTAAAATGCAATTTAATTGTGTCAAATATTATAATCTAAAGAAATAAACCATTTATAATCACACTTTGCTTTTCTGTGACTAGATATTTTTATAGACTGTATTATTTGCCCAAGAAATTCTCCCAAGGCATTAGATGTGAGGATGGCATTTTCATAGTTGAGAAGGTTCACGTTTTATATGTCTCACAAATATCCTTGCAGCTCTGATTGCCTGAACCAGAAATATAAGAGCTGTGTTAGATAAATCCTTCTCCCTATATCACTTCACCAGAAATCCAAGCACTTAACAAGCCCTGTCAATTCACTTGAATAATAGCTCCCTATTCATTGGGGGAGTATTTCTGAGATAAGGACAAAAGCACAAACTGTAAAGAAAAAGATTCTGACATAGTAATCACAATATAATTCAAATGTATTGGGTACTTACTGTGTATCAGGAACTCATTGTTCTAAGCACTTTACATGCTTAGTCATTTCGCCCTCATAATAACCCTATGAGATAAGTTCTATTATTTTCCAATTTTACAATCCAGGCACTGAGGTTATGTAATTGACTGTCAAAGAATAAAACAGAAGTAACAAACAAGGGAAGGGAATGTACCAGGGAGTTAATTGTTAGGAGGGGTTATGCTAATTAAGCAGTGAAAACTAGCACTACTGGTAGGATAGAGTCCATAAGTCTGCACACAATTGGCTACAATAAATGCTATTGTTCTTCGTCAGTTAGAATCTGGCTGGCATACAGGGATCATTAAAAGTTCATGATTGCTGATCAATTTCAGCAGAAAAGAACCACTTGTGATGAAATAGAGCATTCTGTTTTGATACATGCTGGGGAAGTGTTTGTGCAAATCAAAGTTTTCCTTTTACTCAGCAAGTATAGGAAGTTAGGATCAAACATTTGAATTTCTAAATGACAAAAGACACTACAAACTTAAGATGTAGAAGCAGAATGGGAAAGGATCTTTGCAAGATTTATAACATGTAAAGAATATATACAAACCAATAAAAAGACAAACAATGGAAAAAACATATGAAGCAGGCAATTCACCAGTGAGAAAAACAAACATTTTAAAGTACTCATTTTAAGGCAGATTGAAACACTTACTTCATCTATAAGACTGGCCACTAGACGTTATCAAGCTGTTACTATTTAAGCAACACCTTATCCTAGCTTTGAATCTGCATGAGATTCCATATCTCATGTTCTTATATTTTCCTTTTCAGTGGACATTATTTATTTAACATCCAGGGAAGAGAGTTTTGATGCATCAAGACTCTAGTTTATGGAACATTTTATAAGCAATGCCATAATGTAAACTTTTATTTTCACACCAGTGCAACATTTTATACAATTTTTTGTTCAATTCAAGAATGCACAAGCTCAAGAAGTATGTGAGGCCTCTTTCCTTTTCTACCTTCTGCTTCCAAACATCCATGACTTTTCCATTTTCACCTTGCATTTATCAGACCTCATTTTTGTGGGTTTCATCAGAAGTCTCTTTCCCCTTCTCTGCTTTTCCCTTTCCATGACCACGACACTTCTTCAAACTCCTTTTTTGTTTAAGTCTTTGCACATCTACTCCCTCAGACATTAATTTGTTGCATAGAGCTGTATTTTATTCATTTTCATTGTTCTAATATATTCCGTTGCATGGATATGTGACAATTTATTTGCCCATTCCATCATTGATAATATTTTGTTCTTTCCAAATTTTAGATATTAGGAATAATGCTGCTATGAACATTATTGTATTGTACATGTTGCATGCATGTGTACATATTGTTGTGCACATCATTTCTGTCGTATATATACTTAAGAGTGGCATTGCTGGGATATACGATATTTATATGTCCCATGAAGTGGTGGTCAACTTTAGTAGATACTGCCAAACTATTTTCCAAAATGGTTCCGTTAGTCAGCATTACCACCAGTACCACCAGAAGTCAAGTTTCTATTGCTCCATTTTGTCATCAGTACTTGCCATGCTGATCTTTTTATTTTTTATATCTTAGTTTTTATTTTATTTATTATTCTTTTACTATGCTGATCTTTTTAATTTGGCCATTCCGGTGGGTATCTCGTTGTGTCTTTATTTGCATCTCCCTGATGTTCATGGAGGTTGATCATTTTCTCATGTGCCTGTGGGTCATTTGAATACCACCCTTTGTGACTTGCCATCATATCTCTTGCCCAATTTTCTATTGGGTTCTCTGTGTTTCTCTTATCACAATGAGGGAGTTCTGTACATATTCTTTAAACAAACCCTTTACTGGCTATACATGTTGCAATTATTATCTATGCTGTGGCTTACTTTTCTACTCTCTTAATGGTATTTTTTAAAATAGAAATTATTCATTTTAATATAGTCCAATTTATTTAGTCATTTCTTTTATGATTGATGTTTACTGTGCCCAGTTTAAGAAAATTTTCTCTGCTTCAAGGTCAAAAAATTTCTCCAATACTATCTTCTAGAAGTCTTGTTGTTTTGTCACATATGGGTTACCAACCCATCTGAAATTGATTTCAGAGTATAGTTAAAAGAGGAGTCAAATTTCATTGTTTTCCATATAGAAATCTAATTAACTGCAGGTTAGGGGTAAAGTAGAGGATCAGCCTGCTGCTCTGTAACATGGCCAGGAGCTTTCTGGAATTTATAAAATATCCGTTCATTAAAAAAATTAAATACTCTTAAATAATATTTAGTGTAAGTAACAATAGTGTAAGTAACAATAATCAGAAAATTTGAAATTTCCACTTAATGCAGCTTTTGGGGGGAGATTAAAAAATTAAATTTGAAGTCTTGCAGGAACTGAAATACCACATATTTTTATTTCCCACGGTGGTAAAAGGACAAGACCTATAGTCATCTTTTAACTAAAATTCACAACATAATTTATTTAATGAAAAGGTTTGCTTTGACTGAGACTATTAAGGACATAGGCATTAGCATTTAATTTCCTTGTATTTATTTACTTTTCTATTTTATGTCTGTTTATTTGAGAGCTTTGCCTGTAAAACTCCTAGTTGATAAAGGCACATTGTTGCAAAATACCTGAGGAGTAGGTAAAGCATAACTCCATCTGATAAAGGATGAATACAGGCAAGATTAGATGGCTGTAACATCTTCTTTTTTCTTCCTCCTCCAAGTCACAAACAGCAGCTGATTTCAAAGCCTCATCTACTCTATCCAGCCCCACTCTGGCGGTGAGGGCTTCTATTACACTTGTTACGATTAATTCCACAACTGCGAGGGATCATAGAAGATGCACATTCATACCCAGAACACGTTCTTCCCCCTGAATATGAGGATTCTCAGAGACCCGCACAGATCAAGAGTCCACGATTCAGAATTCTGGCAAGCTTCTTGGTCAAACAAAACCAACATTCAGAGGACACTCCACAAGGGTGAGGGTGTGAGTTGTTGGAATAGAATCAGTAGTTGGTCCACACCGTTGAGTTGGGCAGTGAAAGTCCTTCCTTCCTTGGAAAACACACCCTGCAGGAGAAGCTGAGCTTACTCAAATACTACATACTGACTCAGTGGAAATCGACATTTTTCTCTTAGAATTCAAACAACCAATTGTTCCAGATATTTCATTAGAAAATGACAAAATGAGAAACATTCAGGAGATACCCTGGCTGAAGTGTTTGCGTACAGGAGAGGATAGAAGCGTTCCCACCCACAGAGCAGCTTTATGTACAGGTTAGAAAATGTTAGGGTGTTCATTTAATTGAGGAGAGTGAGGGCTGTAGCCATCATTCACGTAGGAGCTCCTCCAGGAAGTACCAGTAGCTGAGTTTGCTCATTAGCCTGTCACCATCAGCTCAGCCACCAGGGGGCGCGGTGTACACTTTCGCCTTCGGAACTCCCAGAGCATCAGTCTTTTCAAGGTGGATCTGGAACTCTCAGGTAGGCCAACAGCTTGTTCCCTTGACTTGGTTTCCCAAGATAAGTCATCAACTAAAATTGGGGAAAACACCCTTGAAGAGACTAAAACTAAGCGGAAGAGCAATGTCAGTGATTTGTGTACACATTATCATTTACTGGTAATAGTTTTCATGTAAACAAGGGACAAATTGCTTTAGAGAAACGTGAACTCTAGAGGAGAAATGAGAGAGCATGGGGGTTGCTAACAGGAGAATTCAAATGAAGACTATGCTGAATCTCTGTCTCCGGTGAAATATAAGCTGGCTGGTGGTGTCATGTGTGTGAGAGCGGCAGAAGGAAGTCCCGTAACTCACAGACCCTGGAAGGAAGCACCTGGGCCATGTCTCCACACAGGCCACTTGGCAGAGAAGATCAAGGGCTTCCTTATATTTGTTTTATGGAGTAATGGAATTCTCTAAACCTTAGCACTGAAGGGTTTCTTAAAATCTTCGTGAAGAATTAACGATTTTTGGCCTAATGTTAATTTGCATATCATTGGGCCTGATCTGCATGTTTAATTTGTAACTCGGCAGGAACCTTGAAGCCATTATACCAAAGTTAGATTTTCCTGTTTCCTATCCAACAACATTTTGAATTAAAAGCTTAGATTTGAAAGCAGGAATAGAGTTTAAATTTGTAATAACAACCCAGTTTTACTTTTTTCCCATAATTATTTACACATTGTTTTGTTCTTATAAGAAGGTAAAATTGAGTTATTTCATTTTTTTCACTTGGAAGCTATTTTTTCCTAAGTAAAAAACCGTTAAAAGACTCATCTTTTTGAAGACTAGTTTTTAAAATCTATTTCAATGTATTAACATAAATTACA